CCGTCCCCCCGGGTTCCCCCTTACCCCGCACTCACACACACACTCACTCTCTCTCATTCACACCCCCGTGTCCCCCACACACACACGCGCACACGCTCTCTCTCATTCACACCCCCCATGTGCCCCACATACACACGTTCTCTCTCATTCGCACTCCACATGCACACGTACGCACACACGCACTCTCTCTCATGCATAACCTCATGCTCTCATGCATACCCTCACATCCTCTCCGTCTCATCCTCACCCCTGTTCATACTCCATCCATCCCACATACACACATAAGCGCTCTCACACTCTCTCTTTCTCTCTCTCATGCATACCACCAGACTCTTATACACACCCTCTCATACATTCTCTCACGCATTTATTCATCCTCCCTCACACAACTCTCTCAGTCAAACCCTCATACACACACATACAGTCACATCCTTTCCTTCACGCCCTCATTCTTCCATTCAAGCCATCATGCGCACATATTTCTCTCCCTTTCACACCCCATTGTTTCATCCATACACTTATACGCCTTCACATTCATCCACACCCTGTTCTCTCTCATTCAAATGCCTCACATACCCATACAATCATTCAAACACTCATATATACACACAAGCTTCAATTTCACATCCCCATTCTCTCATTCAAACCAACACACGTATATATCTCTCTCCCCCTTTCACACACCATCTTCTCACATCCATACTTACACGCTATATATACACTCTCATCTCACTTCTTCACGACCCCATGCTTCCATTCAAACCCCCACATACACATTTCTCTCTCCCTTTTACACCCCATCCTCTCAAACAATACCTTCATACACACATACACAGTATCACCCTTTCATTTTCATCCCACTCCATCATTCAAACATTCCCTCACAAATGCACTATTTCTTTCACCTTCATATCCAAATTTTCATTCATTCACGTATTTTCTTTCTCACTTCCCTTTTTCGCCCTCTCAAAAACTTTCATTCTCATAATTATTCTACTCTCATACTTTCACTCTCACTCTAGAAAAACCCCTCAACATATTTTTATTATGTACACGAACAATAAAAAANACCTAGTTTGATAAGGGAGAAATTAATTTATTAGAAAATAAAAAAGACGCTTTTAAATAAAGGGTTGAAAGTGTATCCTGACAATTTCCAACTATAAAATTCTTCTCACTGATAGCCCATAACGACATTAATGCATTTTGGTACTTTTACCTAGTTTGATAAGGGAGAAATTAATTTATTAGAAAATAAAAAAGACGCTTTTAAATAAAGGGTTGAAAGTGTATCCTGACAATTTCCAACTATAAAATTCTTCTCACTGATAGCCCATAACGACATTAATGCATTTTGGTACTTTTACCTAGTTTGATAAGGGAGAAATTAATTTATTAGAAAATAAAAAAGACGCTTTTAAATAAAGGGTTGAAAGTGTATCCTGACAATTTCCAACTATAAAATTCTTCTCACTGATAGCCCATAACGACATTAATGCATTTTGGTACTTTTACCTAGTTTGATAAGGGAGAAATTAATTTATTAGAAAATAAAAAAGACGCTTTTAAATAAAGGGTTGAAAGTGTATCCTGACAATTTCCAACTATAAAATTCTTCTCACTGATAGCCCATAACGACATTAATGCATTTTGGTACTTTTACCTAGTTTGATAAGGGAGAAATTAATTTATTAGAAAATAAAAAAGACGCTTTTAAATAAAGGGTTGAAAGTGTATCCTGACAATTTCCAACTATAAAATTCTTCTCACTGATAGCCCATAACGACATTAATGCATTTTGGTACTTTTACCTAGTTTGATAAGGGAGAAATTAATTTATTAGAAAATAAAAAAGACGCTTTTAAATAAAGGGTTGAAAGTGTATCCTGACAATTTCCAACTATAAAATTCTTCTCACTGATAGCCCATAACGACATTAATGCATTTTGGTACTTTTACCTAGTTTGATAAGGGAGAAATTAATTTATTAGAAAATAAAAAAGACGCTTTTAAATAAAGGGTTGAAAGTGTATCCTGACAATTTCCAACTATAAAATTCTTCTCACTGATAGCCCATAACGACATTAATGCATTTTGGTACTTTTACCTAGTTTGATAAGGGAGAAATTAATTTATTAGAAAATAAAAAAGACGCTTTTAAATAAAGGGTTGAAAGTGTATCCTGACAATTTCCAACTATAAAATTCTTCTCACTGATAGCCCATAACGACATTAATGCATTTTGGTACTTTTACCTAGTTTGATAAGGGAGAAATTAATTTATTAGAAAATAAAAAAGACGCTTTTAAATAAAGGGTTGAAAGTGTATCCTGACAATTTCCAACTATAAAATTCTTCTCACTGATAGCCCATAACGACATTAATGCATTTTGGTACTTTTACCTAGTTTGATAAGGGAGAAATTAATTTATTAGAAAATAAAAAAGACGCTTTTAAATAAAGGGTTGAAAGTGTATCCTGACAATTTCCAACTATAAAATTCTTCTCACTGATAGCCCATAACGACATTAATGCATTTTGGTACTTTTACCTAGTTTGATAAGGGAGAAATTAATTTATTAGAAAATAAAAAAGACGCTTTTAAATAAAGGGTTGAAAGTGTATCCTGACAATTTCCAACTATAAAATTCTTCTCACTGATAGCCCATAACGACATTAATGCATTTTGGTACTTTTACCTAGTTTGATAAGGGAGAAATTAATTTATTAGAAAATAAAAAAGACGCTTTTAAATAAAGGGTTGAAAGTGTATCCTGACAATTTCCAACTATAAAATTCTTCTCACTGATAGCCCATAACGACATTAATGCATTTTGGTACTTTTACCTAGTTTGATAAGGGAGAAATTAATTTATTAGAAAATAAAAAAGACGCTTTTAAATAAAGGGTTGAAAGTGTATCCTGACAATTTCCAACTATAAAATTCTTCTCACTGATAGCCCATAACGACATTAATGCATTTTGGTACTTTTACCTAGTTTGATAAGGGAGAAATTAATTTATTAGAAAATAAAAAAGACGCTTTTAAATAAAGGGTTGAAAGTGTATCCTGACAATTTCCAACTATAAAATTCTTCTCACTGATAGCCCATAACGACATTAATGCATTTTGGTACTTTTACCTAGTTTGATAAGGGAGAAATTAATTTATTAGAAAATAAAAAAGACGCTTTTAAATAAAGGGTTGAAAGTGTATCCTGACAATTTCCAACTATAAAATTCTTCTCACTGATAGCCCATAACGACATTAATGCATTTTGGTACTTTTACCTAGTTTGATAAGGGAGAAATTAATTTATTAGAAAATAAAAAAGACGCTTTTAAATAAAGGGTTGAAAGTGTATCCTGACAATTTCCAACTATAAAATTCTTCTCACTGATAGCCCATAACGACATTAATGCATTTTGGTACTTTTACCTAGTTTGATAAGGGAGAAATTAATTTATTAGAAAATAAAAAAGACGCTTTTAAATAAAGGGTTGAAAGTGTATCCTGACAATTTCCGACCATAAAATTCTTCTCGCTGATACCCCATGACGACATTAATGCTTTTTGGTACTTTTACCTAGTTTAAATAAAAAAAGAAGCTTTTGTCTAAAGGGTTGAAAGTGTATCCTGACAATTTCCAACTATAAAATTCTTCTCACTGATAGCCCATAACGACATTAACGCATTTTGGTACTTTCAGCTACTTTAATAAGGGAGAAATTAATTTATCAGAAAATAAAGAGAGGTTTTTGTCTGAAGGGTTGAAAACGCAACCTGACAATTTCCGACCATAAAATTCTTCTCACTGATAGCCCATGACGACATTAATGCATTTTGGTACTTTTACTTAGTTTAATAAGGGAGAAATTAATTTATTAGAAAATAAAAAAGACGCTTTGAAATAAAGGGTTTCAAACGCAACCTGACAATTTCCGACCATAAAATTCTTCTCACTGATAGCCCATGACGACCTTAATGCATTTTGGTACTTTTACTTAGTTTAATAAGGGAGAAATTAATTTATTAGAAAATAAAAAAGACGCTTTGAAATAAAGGGTTGAAAGNAAAATTATTCAATTCTTAACAAACTTTTCACATTAATCTTACCACATTAAACAATAAATATAAATAAGAAAAACACTTTGTTTGTTTCAGAAATTGTGTATATATTTTGATGATATCGTTGCGATTTTTACACAATTATCAACACATCAACAGTACCACAAATACTTTTTATAGTGATGTAATGGTCGGAACAATATCGTCATGATACAAAATGTGTTTTATTATTTATAATTGTTTAATTCAAGTACAAAATTAACAAATTTTTTTATTGTGATGGAACTTTTGGCTGTTTGTTTTACATTTTCAGATTTAAACATTCATCTTTGACTGTTTCACTTTGTAATTTGTTTCTTTTAATGAATAAGATTAAACCAACAATCCGCCAATTAAGACGTTCTCGTGGCTGAGTTCTGGGATAACGAGTGAGTACGTGTTTTCGATGTATTTTTACTGGTGTTTTTCCGAAAAATGGTCGAGAGTTTTTTTATAAACAATTTTATTATTTAAAACGTCAAATATTGCAAACTATACCTGGAATCAATATGAAACCTGTAAAAATCCATGGCTACTCATTATAAACCGCTTTGTTCAAGAATTACTGTAAGATATTGGTAATATATATGGCGTTTTAAACAATTAAATTGTTTATAAAAAATTCCCTGACCATTTTTCAGAATAACGATTTTCGAGTTCGGATTATACGGGCAAAATACACCGAAAACACTGCTTTTCTTACAAATATTTAAAATCAGAAAACCAGAACGTATTTTTTGTTTTGATGTAACTTTATCCATCCCTGTTTAATATCAGAAGCACTACGAAGCATTTAACACAGGAATATTTTCTCTTAATTATTAATAACAATATTTTTTTCTATTTCGTGCATATAATATCATCAGAGGACGATTTTTTAGTTGTTATTAACTTTTATTCTCTTATTTTCACATTAGGTCAGTCTTCAATATTTAACATTACATTTAATTATCATTAACAATCTTTTTATTTATTACAATGGTTCAAATCAAATTAATTGTAAGACATTTTCGTATTTTGACGAAACTTATCGGTAATTTGTCTAATTTTATTTTTTCTCTTTCAATTGTTTTAATGACTTTGTCTTTAAAAATATAATAAATAGTTTTATAGGATCTGTACGGTAAAACAACTCTGATGCTTGTTAAATTCATAAACTAATTCGTAATTTGTTTTAAGAAATGAAACGTAATTTCTGGTAAAATTAAACNACGAAACTTATCGGTAATTTGTCTAATTTTATTTTTTCTCTTTCAATTGTTTTAATGACTTTGTCTTTAAAAATATAATAAATAGTTTTATAGGATAAAATTAGTACACGTTTTTATTTATTATAATATTTTATTGCACGTTTTCCACTTCAGAGCAGCCTTTACCATAATTATTTCCTTTAAGTTGTGACAAATGTGAAACAGCAGCCGGTATCTGTTTTTAATCCTTTAAAGTTCACAATTCTTTTTATTTTAGTTCACACTTAAATTTATATAATTACATTAACACATTATCTTATCTTAGCATAACTTACCATTATATCTTTTCACCTGTCCTTCCTTTTAGGGCAAACTTAGATATTCAACTATGATGTTATTCATTTCCATTACTTGTATTTATCTCTTTTTTAAAACATTTATTTTTTTAATTAATTTCACCTTTAACTTAACTTTAATTTCTCTTTCCTTTTTTTTACTTTAGGGCCATTGTCAGCATTGCAACATTTAGTATTATTTCTTTTAATGACTTGTAATCATTATTTCATTTTTCTACATTTACAATATAGAGAATTAAATTATCTCATTATCATAGATTAACGTAGATCATTATTAACCGATTATAATATTTAAACTTTCAATGCTGTATTCTCGATGAAACATTTTCAATAATAAAGGAAAAGAAAGGAAAAGATGTTTCAACAAAACTGTTTATTCCTCGACAATTGTTTTGATCTCTATAAAAGGTCATTTTCAAAAGTACTATTGTACTATTGTATTCTTTAGAAACAATTGTCGAGGAATAAACAGTTTTGTTGAAACATCTTTCCTTTCTTTTCCTTTATTATTAACTGATTATTTTAATTTATTTAACATTATTTGTAGCTTGTAATCAACTTTCTTCAATTTTTTTTTGTATTTATCTTATTTTCTATTTTCTTACAGTGGAGCCATCATCACCATTGGGACCTGGTACATCCGAGCATGGATCTTCGCCATCCGTCCGAGGACCGTAGTGGATCGCGTGTGTCGGGTCGGGAGTGTTCTGGTGCGTCCGAATTCGAACTCGGAAGCGTCCAACCCTCGGAATCTCGGATGTTCCGAGATCCTGAGTTTTGGAAACTTCGGAATTCGAATCTCAGGACCTCCAAAACTATGAATCCCCTTTCGGGATTCATTTTTTTGGAGATCTTGAGTTTCGCATTGCGAAGTTCCCGAAACTCAGCATCTCGGGACTTCCAAATTTCGAGTGTTGGATACTTTCAAGTTCAAATTTGGATGCACCAATCGCCGGGCCTTGTCCCGGACGGTCTTCGAATAAGCAAAACATAACTTACTAAACCTGGTAGGCGTGAAAAATTCATTTTTGTCCTTTTTTTTTAAATAAATAAAAAACATTTTTAAGGTTTACGTTGTCTTTTATTGTGTTTCTCCCTCGCGCCCTCCCTTCCCTTCCCTCCCCTCCCACCCCTCCCCAGCCCTTCCCGCCCCGTAGGGGTGGGTGTACGGGGCGGGACGGACCCATTCACACCCTCACTGGACAAATGGGGGATCATTAGAGTAAGAATGTGTGTTTTCAAGAAGGAAAGAAGGAGAAAATACACATGTGTGAGAGAGAGAGGGGAGATTGTAGGGACTTTTACCCCACCGCCTCCCTTCTCACTCTCACATGCATACTCTCTCTCTCTCTCCCTCTTACACACATTCTCACCCCAACCATCTCCCATTTATCCCCATTCACGCTTGCAATCACACTATTCACCATCACATTCACCCCCTCACAGAACAAATAAGGGATCATCAAGATGAGAATATGAAGGCACATTCTCACCCTGACCATCTCTTACTTGCTCTCAGTCACCCTCACATATTCTCGCACTGATTCATTCCTATATACTGCCACACTCTTCATTTATTCCCTTTTACTTATTCTCATTCACCATCAGTCGTTCTACTTTCCATCACTCTCTCTCCATAATAAATTCCCAATCCCTAACGATTTATTATTACAATGGTATTTATAGCATCTTATAAATCTAGGTATCATAAATTACACCTATAAACATGAATAAATATATGGTAAGTACATGTCAAATTAATATTACCTTAACATAAATTAAAACATTCACCAATACAGTTTAAACTGAGAAGCTATTTGTTAAATATTTCATTACAACACATTAATTTATAAAAGTGGATTTTTCGATGTATTTTTACTGGTGTTTTTCCGAAAAATGGTCGAGAGTTTTTTTATAAACAATTTTATTATTTAAAACGTCAAATATTGCAAACTATACCTGGAATCAATATGAAACCTGTAAAAATCCATGGCTACTCATTATAAACCGCTTTGTTCAAGNAAACATTCACCAATACAGTTTAAACTGAGAAGCTATTTGTTAAATATTTCATTACAACACATTAATTTATAAAAGTGGATTTAGTGACTGTGTTGTTAAATATTCTAAATAAGTAACAATAATAAATTTAAAAGAAAATTCACGAACAACTAAAATAAAATTAGAACAAGAGATAAGCAGATAAATAAATTGGAGAAGTAACTGCAAAAGATGAGATAATGAGTTAAACACTTCAGAATTACTAAACAAATGAAATATTAAGTGAACATGAATTTATAAGTGTCATAAGTTATGAGAAAAATTAAATTAGGATTAATTTATAAAACTGAAACTTTGTTCAATAAATCCACTTTTAGTTACACATTATTGAAAGAATAATTAATTCATCACTTAGAGTCTTCGATATGGGATGGAAAGAAAACTGCCGTGGCTTAAGGATGTCCTCAGTCGTTACAGAACCTGAAACAACGGAAATACATTTCTAATAAATACCTCTCCAAAGCTGATAGTTATTATTAATTAAAAAAGCTTACCGTTCGACTTTCATAGATGCTAAATTTCCAACTGCTTCACCAGTACAAGTCTCGATCATATTTTTAGGAATTTCTGAAACAAAGAAACAACTGTAAAGCACACTACTGTAGAACAAAGGAAAAACAAAAAGTTACAACTATAGATTTTTGTAAAACGCTTTAATACACTCTCTCCCCTTCCCACCCCGTACGTCCACCACTACATTCGCACACCCTCATTCACACTCTCATTAATAACAATTTTAGTAAATCTTTAATAACAAAGGATTAGAAAAGATGGGCAATTTTCTACCTTCTTTGTTAGATATGTTGGAAAATTTCCATCGGCTTTCACATCGGTTTCGGTCACAATTGTTATTTATTAACAAGTATATATACACTTAATGCATTTCTAACAATTAAATTTTGTTTATTGTTACAACTATACTGTACAATAAATAAATTTAATGTATAATCACTCACGAAGGACAGAACACCGTTAAAGGACAACGATGTCGACCGAATACAGCTGTGGATTGAATAAAAAGTAAGATAGGAACAATCTTTTTTACCAACCTCAATAACTGTTAAAATTATTATTCCACTATTATAACAGTTGCCACTGATATTAATATAGGAACTGACTTAATTTCTGAATCCAATAAACTTCAGAGATAATTTGTTATTTATAATATAGTACTTTTAGGTAATTTTTGGCAGGAATTATTTAAATGCGCCTATTAAAAAGCTGTTTTTGTAACTTTATAGACGTCTATTTTAAAACAGAATACAAAGGAATTAAGTATTTCAGGGCTTTGTTTAAAAATCTATTCGCACACTTATTTATGTACAAATTGCATATATTTTTTTTTTAATTTAAAAGAAAAAGAAATAATTTGAAAATTTGAAAAACCACACCTGACATAAACGTACTTGCCTTAGAAAAAGACGAGGATTTTCTTTGAAAAGTAGTTGACTAAATAAAGAGATAGAAGAACGTAACTGTAAGCGGGTTGCTTACGTAAAACTGAGTTACCTACTTCTAAGTTGTCGTTTGTAAACAGGGAAATTTCATTAAAGAGACGTTTGCCTTTATAGGATGCCGTTACTCCCTTATCAATCCAAAATCGCCCCATTCGAACCGGAACAATTGTAAAGCGGTGAAAGAATTCCTGTCGAAACTTATGCAAACAGTACAAGTATTTATCAGACGAGCGCGAGCGCAAGGAGCGCCATCGGCAGGTCAAATTGGATTCTCCTCGAGAAGTACAAATTAACTTACATAAAACTCCAATGAATTCCCAGATAAACCCGACGTTTTCCACAATAGAATTGTCCGCTTTCACTACTATCCGATCCAATTTTGGATCTTCAAACAGTTTCCAACTATAATCGTTGCATACGATTATCTTATCCTCTCTTCATGTTTATGAAGAGAATCGGTACATCTCTACTTAATAACGTATTGTAGTTACTAAAATTGCAATGCAAAAAAAATGCTTGTTATATTTCCACCTGTTACAAATGCTAGCGGTCGGGCAATCCCTTTAGAGTCTACCGCTAAGTTATAGCCTGAACCTCTAAATTGTGCGGTACAATATACATTGATAAATAAAACACAATTAAGTACAATTTTACAATAGTATCAGTCTAATGGATTCTGGAGATACAAAAAGTATTTTTAATGTGAAAAAGTTTATTGAAAACAAATTGAACGTATCGTTTGACAGATCTGTTGTACATCTCCGTTCCGAGAATTTACTTATCCCATTTTATAAAGAAACATTGACTGATATTCTACGTAAATATTAATTCCTGCTATTCAATTTTGTTGTTCTTAAAAAGTTTCCCAGTGTTATATTTCCTTTTCTTCTTACTTTCTTTTGCGAAATATGTGGGTCGCTGTATAAATATAGAGACTACATTAAATTCGTTAAAACCTAAAATCAATTTTGAAACTAGATAAACAATTCAGTAAAAAAAGTAGTTAAATGCTGCTTTTAAATCGTATCTATGTGCACGTGTATATATATAAATGGTATTTTTAATGACTCGGAAACAATACGATCAGGTTGTATTCGACACACAGAATTACAAGGATTTTAGGCATTAACCAGTAACTTACTGTAATGTGTCCTTTGATGATAGTCACATAGAAATCTGGCAAAATCAAATTAATTAATGAGCCGTTGATGATAAATGGTGGGTCAATAATTGTTTGAGAAACAATAACAATGGATTTAGCACAAAAGTTGTTAATTTGTGTTCCAGAAATTCGTCAATTTTTATGTCAATCAAACTGGTACACCTACATCACAAAATCATAAAACGATTCGCTTGAGAATTTAGTAGGTACCCTAATTAAATTAATATTTGATGCTGCATTCCTCATAAAAAATTATTGAGGGTTCTGGGTAAGGGCTAAGAAAGTACACACCCACACCAAAATTCTTTGCTTCCAAAAGTAGGTACCTATGTCATAATTTCATGCTTTTAAGTGTTTAAAATAAAACAGTAAGTTTGAAAAGTATTATTAGTATAGTAAGACTGCAAACAAAATTATCAATAATGCCATTATAATTTTCGTCTAATTCTTGTACTAAAATGTAATAAAGTGAAACAAGAATATTCTACACAAGAACTTATTACTTTTTCACGTGTATTATGTGGTCTATAAACCGAAAAACAATTTGGTAACAACCAGAAAATTACAGAAATCTTACAATACTTCCAGTATTTTTCAAACATTAAGCATTTTTCGGTATAAGTGTGTCAGCTGGATGCTGGAGGGAAGAAGCACTGCATTATTAGCCTTCACTCAGAACCACCACTAATTTTCATTAGCACCAAATTCTCATATGAATCGTTTTGTAATTTGGTATGTAAGTATATGCTAGCTTGGCAGACATTCAGTTTTTCAAAATCTATACCAAACCAATGGAACTAGATGATTTGTAATCGTGACCTGCGAGTAAATCCTAAACTTGATCGATATGACGTCTCTGACAGAATAATGGTGACGATTTTTCGAAAAATAAAGCGACCATAAAAGCGGGGATGGGATTCAGTTGAAAGCTGAAGATGGATAGCAAAAGTTGGAGGTGCGAATGGATCGGAATTATATACATATATCGCTAAAGAATAGCAGTGATTAGACAGCAATCCATCACTTAGACAATCAATCAATGACAAACGAGTTGTAAAAAGTTACGAGTCGAAGATGAAGTTCTCCTAATGCGTCTTCAAATGGAACGGGGAACGGGACACATTAAACTAAACGAGCGGCTTTTTACACGTCCGTGTAAAGAATGCGAAGTAAAAATGAGATAAATAAATGGTTTCCGAACATAGTTGCTCGATCATTTTTAAACTTAGTTGCTTAATACGATTACTCATAAAACGATCATTAGGATGCTTTTAAGAGTAAAAAGTTAAAAGTTAATAAAATGCCTAAAGTTAGACATGACGTACAAGTAAGGCAAAATGATTGCCGAATGTATTGTAGAAATCATGAGTTGTATTATTAGCTGAATAGCCTTAGGTACATCTGAATATTTTTGAATAAGAAAAGCTTCATCAGATATTTTCAAACAAGAAACAAATATTAATTCTTTCTGCGCCAGAAAAAAATAATTTCAAAGCCGTATAATATAGCTACCTAATTTATTATATTCCAGCTTTTACTGCCTTAATATTTAAAGCGCTTAATTATGTACCTACAAAGAAGAATTTTTTTTCATTTAGTTGAGGATGAATAATTTAAACGGTAACGAAGCTTTCCAATCATGAACGAAATTCCAACATCGTTAATAATATTACTTTTTCTTCAGCTTGAAGAAAATTGCCAATTGCCAGAAAAAAAGACAAATATCATTAACTCAAAAGAAAACGTAAGTATACCAACCTCACTATTTTTTAAAAAAGTTTATTTTATAAACGGTATCTCCTGTACTTTGTAGCATAATAAAATTTATTACTTAGCAAAAATGTCAGTTTTATTATCCGACTTAAAACTTGTAAAACCGACTTGGATGATTCCCTGTCTACATAATACTTTTGTTCACAATTTATTGGACGAAAGGTAATATTCTAGAATGCAAGATCCGTATATAACCGTGCAATCGATCTCTTATGTGGCTCATTTCATCCACTTCCTCGTTCTCTTTCTAGGTCATAGAGTTTCCAAAGTAAAATTTAACTTCAAAGACGAACAGTACTTTAAATTTTAAACAGTAATGGCAGAAAACGTTTTCTCTGTCATACCATACATGCCAGATCTCTAGTAGATCGCGATTTGTAAATTCCGGAAATATAATCCAGCATTTCTTTATTGTTTGTTATCTGGTAGAATAGTAGTTGTATTTTCGGGAAAATAAGCTTTATCCTGTTTGCGAAATAATGGCAACTGCGCTCTTTTTAATGGTACCAATTTACATTATTATTCATCAATATACGGTATTCGAATCTACAAGGCTAAAAAATGAAATTGGAGCTATACAAATGAAGGATGATTCCTACGACAACATAATGTATGCTTGGTTTACGAAAGGTTATATTTACAGTATTTGTTTTTTTTATCACACAAGAGACCAATCTTCATAGCCATTAGATTATGTTAAGAAAAAAGTGAAATTATGACATTTCTACCCAAAAAAAATTTAAATTATTCCCTACATAAACGTCATATAGGTACCTTGTCGTTAGTAAAACAATTAAACCTTCAGGAATTAGCTATCCTTAGTACGCACTGCTTATTTTGAGATTCTTCCCTAAAGCAATCTCGGGTTGTAAGAAATTTCATCTAAACTTTGTACGGCTTTTTTGTCCCGCGCACGGAGTTTTATTATTATTACTGTTGACTAAAGTAATAAATGCCTGCAGGATATTCTTACATCTTATGATGATAAAAGTATACTTCTTCTTTTTCTTTTAACGAACATGTTATTTTTAACAACAATAATATTATATATATATATATATACATAAGAAAGTCAAATTGTGAAGCACAAAAAAGTAAATTGTTTCCAAATTGAAAAAGAAAGTAAAGAAGTCATAATAATCTGTTTTACTGTGGAAAAGTACTCTGTTCGGCTT